GATGTGGATTATTTTTTCTGAGAGGGATTTTGAAAAGTTCTGGGAGGGAAGGAAGGAAGGAAGGAAAGGAAGAAAGAAAAATCAGCAGGAAATGCTCTCCGAGCCTCGGTGGTTGCCGAAGTCTGTGGTTTACAACATGCTCCTCAGCTATTTTATGAGGCAGCCAGGCCTCTACTTACCGCCAACTCCCCCCCCCCAATACTATTTTCTTGGACTCTGGCAACTAGTGCCTCGACTCCGGACTTGCCCTAAAGGCAACACAGCCATTTTTTAAAATTGCGTAAACAATGTCACAATGTCACCAAGACAATAAGTGACTCAAACAAGTCTGTTGTGGTTGCTATAGTATTGTTTATGCCGTGACCTTCACAAGAAGGAAAATAGGCAGCCGTAACACCAGCATCCCCTGCGCCCCCCCCCCATGCTACTGTTGCCATTTGCCACCCCCCTCAGCTGGCTGCAAAGTCCTGCAACCCACTTGAAAGGCAGCTTTGTCAAAATTGCAAATTGCAGGTGCATTTACTTTGGATCCAGCAACCCCGCTTCTGAGAATTTTCCCTCCAGTATAAAATGGGACCTGGACAAGGTTATTCTTTGCCGTGTTGTTTGTGACAGTAACAGATTAGATCCGAGTGTCCATTTGTTGGGGAATAGAGACAAAAATGATGCATCATCCATCAAAGGAAGAAACACTCTGAGAGGTGAAACAGTGAGCAGGAAGCCCTCCCTCTACTGGATAGAAAGGGTACTGCAAAGTGCAGAACAGGAGTGGAGACAGTAAGAATTTTCCTTAGTGTTTTTATAACAAAACTCGCCAAGGATGCACATGAAATAAAAGGGAAACCTTTGGGAGGTTGGTTGAAAGGAAAGATGTGAGAAAAATTTTCCAGTGAGTAATTTAAAATACCCACCTGAGTTATTATGTGACTGTAACTAACCCTCCAAAAAAAGGAGCAATTTCCCACAAGTTGAAGCCCTCAAATGACGAGCAGAGTACTGGTAACCGAAAAATTGATTCTCAATTTCTCCATTTGTTTTACACTTGCTCCTCCCTGCACCTATTCTTGGAGCTTCCATGATCTTAGGGCCTCGTGCAATTTTGTTAAACCCTTAAACATATAAGCAAAAGAATCCTTTTTTAAACATTTTCTTAGACTATTGTAGTATTAAATCCAACAGAGGGCTCAAAGTGCTAGAACTTTGTGACAATGGCGCCATCTTGTGGTTCTTAGCTATTCCTGTTACATCGAGGTCTCTTCTGGGACCCAAGGAGAGTAATGATCAGACGTTTTATTTTCTGGTTAGTAATAACCTATTTCTAATAACCGCCTTTACCAGCATTTTCCAAGATGACGTCATGATCCGGGGTTTTTGATTAACTAGCTGGTGACACTCTCAGATGAGAGGACTTGAACTGAAAACGGTCTGCTAGCGTCTTGAAGCTGAACGAGGAACTGGGGGAGGTGGGGCTGGAGTTTGTAGGTTTCACAGGCACTCCAGGTGACTCTGACACCCAGTAGGTCTACGAGCCATGGATCCCTGCTCTCAGGTGGGAAATGGGTCCATTTCCCCAACAGATGAAACATATCAGCCGGTGTGAACTGATCACGTACCGTCATGGATGCTGGCCGAGAATGTTCTGTCCGCCTGCATCTGCCCAGGATCACAGCTGCAGAGTTCACACTGGGGAGGCTAAGGCCCTTGGGGCAGAAGTTTGAGGTTCAAATATTTTCTTTGCAATTCTCTTCAAAACGTTACTTTAATCTGTTTGCACTCATGTGAAGTGTCGGTGGCGAGGCTGTCTGTGTACAGTGTTTGCCTTGCTTGTGCCCCGCCCCCCCCAAAAGGCCCCGCCCCGCCCCGGCTGGGTAGCTCAGTTGGCTGGAGCATCATCCTGATGTGCCAGGGTTGCGGGTTCGATTCCCTGGTCTGGGCACATGCAGGAAGCCACCAATGAATGCATGGATGGGCGGAGCAACAGACCGATGTTTCTTTCTTTCTCATCCTCTCTCGTTCTAAAAATCAATAAATAAGAAAATTTTTAAGTTGTTTAAAAACAGAAAAAGCCCAGTCCCCTCCCACACCTGAACTCAGAGGTCATTCTGAAAGTGTGCCCTCCCACCTGGCAAATGGAGTGGAAGTCTCAACCATAACATGCTTTTACTAATGTGAAGTGGCCTTAAGATCCAGCTGGCCCTGGTACTCAGCTGCTGCTGGACACAGCGGGTCAGCGGGAGGAAACTATGCCAAACTAGTATAATGTGCTTTCTTCTCTACGTTTCCTGGGGTTCGGCACATTTTTCAATAAGTGTTCCACTTGGTTAAATGAGAAAGGAACATGTATGCCATTGCGAAATACATTTCATTTCTAAATATTTAGTGACATGAAGTCAACTGCTTCTGTTACGACAGGGTGAGCCTCGGAAGCAGGGGCGAGAAGCTGTGTGACTTCGGCTCAGACAAGGGAGCTGCACGGCACTGGCCCGGAGACTGTTTCGGGCCCAAACCGCCTCTGCGTGGTTCCCGTGTCCCATGCCGTGAGGTCCAGAGAGCAGAACCCGCAGGACCGACAGAGAGCGCGGATCCTGCATCAGACCCCCCTGTGCCACAGGGGTCCCGGCCAGGGGACAGAAACCTCGCCAGATATCCTGAGAGAAAGAATTTTTGTCTTAATTTGTTAATTTTAGAGAAAGAAGAAGGGAGAGGGAGAAGGAGAGAGATTTGTTGTTCCACTTATTGATGCATTCGTTGGTTGATTCTTGTCTGTGCCCTGACCGGGGATCAAACCCGCAACCTTGGTGTACAGAGACGATGCTGTAACCAACTGAGCTATCCAGCCGGGGCCGAACAGAGAGCATTTTTAAGAACAGTTTTACTGAGGGCGAATGTGTACGCCCTGACTGCACATCTCAAATGTGTAATTTGATAGGGTGACGAATTTATACGCCACCACCCCTGCTGTGCTCAGAATGTCCGTGCGCCCCCCACATTCATACGCTGAAATCCCAGCCCACAAAGGGGGTGGGATTAGGAGGCAGGGCTTTTGTGGGGGTGGGGGGGGTGATTAGGTCATAAGGCTAGAGCCCTAATGAATGGGATTAATGCTGTTTTATTTTTTATTTTGTTAAGATTTTATTTACTTATTTTTAGAGACGGAAGGGAGGGAGAGAGAGAGAAGCATCAATGTGCGGTTGCTGGGGGCTGTGGCCTGCAACCCAGGCATGTGACCTGTCTGGGAATTGAACCTGCGATGCTTTGTTTCGCAGCCCCCGCTCAATCCACTGAGCTACGCCAGCCAGGGCGGGATTAATGCTGTTTTAACGGAGACCCCAGAAAGCAGGCTTGCTCTCTCCCTGCCACGGGAGGGGGGTACAGGCAGAAGGTGGCCCTCTGCAACCAGAAAGGGCTTCTTCCCCAGGACCGCACCGCACTGGCCACCTGCCTCGGACTTCCAGCCTCCAGAGCCGTGGGGTCTCACTTCCTGTTGTTTAGCAGTGGCACAGCTGGTAGCACTTCGGGACAAAAACTGGACCAGCTCAGACAGCACAGACTCGGGGAGAGTGGATTCAGGATGACCTGTCCCCAGGACGTCCTGTGCCAGGTGCAGGAGAAGGAAACATATGTGTTCCCTTCACGGTATGTATCTCTCAACGAGCGGAGGTTTGGAGACTGTGCTTTTCCCGCTGTGGTTGAGAAATCTCTGCCTAAATCAAGATTTACAAAGATCGTTATTTTATGTTTTCCTTTGGAAGTTTTACAGTTTTCGGTTTATTTGAGTTAAATCTGTTATTTACAGCTTTAGGTTTATTTATGTTGAGTTAATTTTTCTGAGAGATTTGGAGTGAAGTTTATGTTTTATCATATGGACGTCACATTTTTTCCAGCACCATTTACTGACAAAGACTCTCCACGGAATCCATTTGCAACTTTATCAAAATCAGTTTCCCACATTTGTGTGGGTCTATTTCTAGTATTCTGTTGTGGGAATAGTCCATAATGTGTGTGATACTACAAGATTTAGCAACCTTTTGTGTTATGCATCCACAAATATTCTTTTACACACCTTTTGTGTGTCTGGAAGGGCAGCTGGTGAGGTAGAGAGTGTGCCTTTAAAACTCTGCTGTGTCCAGATCGCTCTCTGTAATGGTTGCACTTACACTCCCATCAACAATGTGTGAGATTTGAGAGTGCATGGTTCCCCCTGTTCTTGTCCATGTTCTTAAGCTTTTTTTTTCAACATTTGCCACCTTTATAGGCCAAAGCAGGGGTGGGGGGAAGGATGATATGGCATGGCACCCCTTTATGTAGATGAGGTTGAACACATTGTCATAGGTTTAGAAGCCACTTAAACTTTCTTTTGTGTAACATTTACTATTTGCGTTCTTACTACATTTTTCTATTGACTTGTAAGTCTTCTTTGTGTTGGTTTGCAAATATCCTTTGCCAGTTTGCTGTTTAGCTGGTGGTTGGTTTTTGGCCCAGGAGAAATGTTTCATTCTTATGTGGTTCCGTTGATCAGTTTTCGCCCCTCCACATAAACATTCCCAGTATAAAAATGCTGATACAAAATTACTTTTGAGAGGTAAGTGTGAACCCAGTAAAAATACCAACGCTACTTTGAAAAGGAGAAACTAGACACATTCATTACTTTCAATTTGGGGGTCATAACTGGACAGTCCTGGAACTGAGCCAGCTAGGGTGGAGCGAGGAAAGGTGAAGGAAAGCATACAGGAATTCCAGGTTGGCAAGGCCGGATGGGGTGACATGTAGGTGCCCGGCCAAGTGCAAATCACCGGGCACCCCTGGCTTCTGAAAACTGCCCACAAGGACATGGTCTGCGCACGTCTGGCCACCTGTCCAGGCTGGTGGTTCATTGGCTGGTTTTCTGCGCCTGCCTAAGTCTTTGGGGGCACACCTGACTCGGCTGGTCCGGTGAGCTCAGAGGTGTGGAGAGAAGACCTGCTCTCATCTCCTGAAAGGCAGAAACCGAAAACCTGGGGAGAAAAAAAACAAAACAAAACAAAGCAAAAAACACTATTAGGGTCTGGTGTCCAGTAACGCTCAGTATCAATTATGGAGTAAGAACGAGTCCTCAGTCCGCTACTGTCCTTCGGGGAGTTGCATGGTTTCCGTCGGACAGTCCACACCTGCCTGCAGGTTAGTCCTCCCGGGAGCCCGGGAACCGTTCGTGCGCCCCCGGGAAGCCCGTGCCCGTGTCCCGGGGAGTTTACTCGAACCGTGTCGGCCGCCGGGGAATTGCGTGGGGAGTCGGCCCCCATCCCTGCAGCCTCCTGAAAAAAACATTTACAAATTCCCCTTTCTGCGGCCAGGGTCGCGCCATGCCGGGGGTGAACTCTGAGGTGGACGCCCGGGTCCAGGCTGCACGCCCTCCGCGGGTCGGAACCTCGCAAGAGACGAGCTCCGGGGCGAGCGAGATGAGGCAGGGCAGGAGTGGAGCGGGAAGGCCGGCGGTGCGCCCCAGCCAGCCCCCGTCGGTCCCGCTGACCTCGGCGCCGGTTTTCCGGCGCCACCTGGTGGCCGCTTTTATATTGTCTCCTTCCTCTGGAGCTCCGGGGCAATCGGTGAGGGAAGAGAATTGATCACAGTGCCCCAGGCAGAGTTCCAGGAGGTCGGCAGCGCTTTCACGCTCACCGCGGTAGAGCCCAGGAAACCGCGCTTCATCTGTTCTCTGGAGATTGTAGCTGCAGGTTTGCAGGGACGGAGACGGCGGAGGTGGTGAGGCCATTGCTAGCCCTTCTGGCTGCGGTGTGGGGTGCGCCAGGACAGGTTGACCAGCAAACGGATGGTGCCTCTCTGCTTGCGGGGAGCCCACTGAGGCCCCACGGGAAAGGGGAGAAGTCAGTGCTTCCCAACCAGACGCCCGAGGTGCCCGGATCTGGATCCGGAGGTGGGAGACCGCCCTGGGCTGGTGAGACGGGCTGGGCCCTGAAAAGGTGTGGACCCGCTCCTTAAATTTCTCTCAAAATTCTCGGGGCTCTCCCCGGACGGTCCGGGATGTGAGTGGGAGCAACGGGTGGTAGAGAGGTCTAGGTCCCTGCTAAGGTGTTTTCTTCGGATTTCATTTCCTCGGCCCGTGGAACCCGGTAGTAGCTAAGGGATGGAACTCGGCCACAGTGCCCAGGGGAGAGTTCCAGGAGGCCGGCAGTGCTTTCAGGCTCACCCCGGTAGAGCCCAGGGAACCGCGCTTCATCTGTTCTCCAGAGATCATACCTGCAGGTTTGTAGGGACGGAGTCAGTGGAGGTGGTGAGGCCATTGCTAGCCCTTTTGGCTGAGGTGTGGGGTGTGCCAGGACCGGTTGACCAGCAAGCAGATGGTGCCTCTGCTTGCGGGACCCCACTGAGGCCCCACGGGAAACAGGAGAAGACAGTCCTTCCCACCGAGACGCCCGAGGTGCCTGGATCTGGATCCAGAGGTGGGAGACGGCCCTGGGCGGGTGAGATGGGCTGGGTCCCACTCCCTAGATTTTTCTCTGAATTTTCGGGGCTCTCCCCAGACAGCCTGGTTTGTGAGTGGGAGCAACGGGTGGTAGAGAGGTCTAGGTCCCTGCTAAGGTGCCTTCTGCGGATTTCACGTCCTTGGCCCGTGGAACACAGTAGTTAGATAAGGGAGGGAATTTGGTCCCAGTGCCCAGGGGAGAGTTCCAGGAGGCCGGCAGAACTTTCAGGCTCACCCCGGTAGAGCCCAGGAGTCCAAGCTTCACCTGTTCTCTGGAGATTGTAGCTGCAGGCTTGTAGGGCTGGGGCTGGTGAAGGTAGTGGGGCTGTTGCTAGCACTTCTGGCTGAGGTGTGGGGGCGCGCCAGAACCGGTTGACCAGCAAACGGATGGTGCCTCTCTGCTCGCGGGATCCCACTGAGGGTCCCCGGGAAACGGGAGAAGTCAGTGCTTCCCAACGAAACACCCGAGGTGCCTGGATCTGGATCCGGAGGTGGGAGATGGTTCCACACTGGTGAGAGATGGGCTGGGCCCCGGAAAGGTGGGAACCATGCCGTAGATTTTTCTCAGGATTTTCAGGCCTCTCCCCAGACCGCCTGGTTTTTGTGAGTGGGAGCAACGGGTGGTAGAGACGTCTAGGTCCCTGCTAAGGTGCCTTCTTTGGATTTCACTTCCTTGGTCCATGGGAACAACATGGTAGTAGGTAAGGGATGGATTTGGCCGCAGTGCCCAGGGCTGAGTTCCAGGAGGCCGGCAGCACTCAGGCTCACACCGGTAGCGCCCAGGGGTCTGAGCTTCATCTGTTTTTCAGAGGAATTGTAGCTGCAGGTTTGTTGTAGGGATGGGGGGCGGTGGAGGTAGTGGGGCCCCTGCCAACACTTCTGGCTGAGGTGTGGGGGTGCATCAGGACTGGTTGCCCAGTGAACGGATTGTGCTTCTCTGCTCAAGGGACCCCATTGAGGGTCCCCGGGGAACGGGAGAAGACAGTGCTTTCCACCGAGGTGCCTGGATCCGGAGGTGGGAGACCGCCCTGGGTGGGTGAGATGGGCTGGGCCCCACTCCCTGGATTTCTCAGAATTTTCGGGGCTCTCCCCAGACGGTCCAGTTTGTGAGTGGGAGCAACGGGTGGTAGAAAGGTCTAGGTCGTGCTAAGGTGCTTTCTTTGGATTTCACATCCTCGGGCCAATGGAACACGGTAGTAGGTAAGGGATGGAGTTTGGTCCCAGTGCCCAGGGGAGAGTTCCAGGAGGCCAGCAGCACTCTCAGGCTCACCCCCAGTAGTGCCCAGGGGCCTGTGCTTCATTTGTTCTCGGGAGGAATTGTAGGTTCGGGGGTGCGGTGTACTGTAACTTCTAGCTAAGGTGTTGGGGCCGGTCGACTAGCAAGCAGCGTGTGTGCCCTTCCGTCACGGGGGGCCCACTGGGGCTCTGTGGAAATGGGGAGAGCGTGTTTCCCACAGAGATACTGGAGGCATCCGCTCTGGGGGTGAGAACCAGCCCAGGGCAGGCGAGAGGGGCTCGGCTGCAGACACACAGCGGGAGCCACTGACCAGCTTGAGCTTTGGGCTGTGGTGACCCCACCTCACAGGTCTTCCTGTTTTGTGTAGGGGGTTCTCCTCCGAGGTTAAGCTATACTTCACCTGAAAAGGGCTGCGAGACGGATGCAGCCCTTCCCGGCTGCTCTCCGCACGTGGCCCTCACGCACTCCTCGGACGCACCCTAACCGCACAGAGGAGGAGCAGACAGCGCCCACTCTGCCCCCGGCTGGGCCCGTGTTCCTGCCCAACGTGGTGCTCTGCTTGCGGGGCCTGTGCTCCTCATCGGTCAGGTCAGAGACGTGCTCCGAGGTTGAGTGCATCGATTCAGCGGCCGTGGGTGCACCCTTGCCATCCTGAGAGGCGGACCCATCCACGGGACATTTGCGCTGGTTGTCTCAGGCGCCACGTGGCGGATGCTTTTCCATGGTTCCCTCCTTCGGGAGCACAGGATTTGGCTGCGGTGAGCCAGGCAGAGCTCCAGGAGGCCCTTTGCACTCGCAGGATCGTCCGGTTCATGTGGCTTCGGGACGTCAGAAGGTGGCCCCCACCAGAAGTGCCCCTCATTGGGCCCCAGCTCACTGCGGAGGTGGGGGGGGCTGGCACAGGCCATGCTGGGGGAGCTCTGAGGTGGGTCGGAAGCTCACAAGTGTTCCTTCATCGGGGGGCACCTCCGTGGGAATTTGTTTCCATCTGGAGACTTGAAGGGACCATTCTCCCTGCTGTGACTACATCCATTGGGTCGACCAGATGGCCCTACGGGCTCTGAGGCTAAGGGAAGGGGATGGTAGAGAGGATCAGTGACCAGGCCATGGTTCCAGGATGGCCGCATGAACTGTAATTCGGCCCCGCCAACAGGCAAGGTATTTTTTTCCTGTCAGAAGCCAGTGGTTTGTATCACCAGATTAGTGGTCACCCCACAGTGGGTGGTTGAGGAAGTCTGCTCCGTGAACAGACCTCTGGGTTTGACCATGAGCAGATGCATGGCTCTACCCCGGCTACAGACACGCCAGAGTGACTCTACTGGAGAGCAGCTCTGGGTCTTTGTCTTGCTTTTTCAGGCTCCTGTGCCTGAAGTGGGGCGAATGCAGTTCTGCCCAGGGCTGCTGTGTGGGAAGCAGTGGGACTCTGGCCCTGCTGTGATTGGGCCCTCCTGTGCTGTAGAACCTGCCCTCAGCACCTCCTTGCTGTCCCCTGCCTGGGGCTGCTGTGTGGGAAGCAGTGGAAGGTATTCTACTGGCCTAGCTCTTCTGTGCTGTTGAGTCTGCCCTTGGTAGCTCTATGCTGTGCCCTGCCCAGGGCTGCTGCATGGGAAGCAGCAGAGGGGACCCTGCTGACTGGGCCCTCAATACCTCCTCACTGAGCTGTGCCCTGCCCAGGGCTGCTGCATGGGAAGCAGCAGAGGGGACCCTGCTGACTGGGCCCTCAATACCTCCTCACTGTGCTGTGTGCTGCCCAGGGCTGCTGCATGGGAAGCAGCAGAGGGGACCCTGCTGACTGGGCCCTCCTGTGCTGTAGACTCTGCCCTTGATATACCCCCTTGCTGTGCCCGGTGCAGGGCTGCTGCATGGGAAACAGTGGGAGGCACCCCACTGACCTAGCCCTTCTGTGCTGTGCAGGACGATGGGTGCTGCAGCGTAAGAGCAGAGTACTTCACACTAAGGATGGTGCATCTGGAGAGTGTCAGCTAGAGATGGTCCTATGTGTTCCACCTTGGGGGAGAAAGATGCACTGGCAATCCTATTCCTCTCTTCCTTGCAAGATGTTGACTGCCTGGCTCTGCCTCCTTGGTCTGGATGTTTGGGACTGGGGTTTGTGGCCCCCCCTTTGTCTGGTGGTGTGTGAAGAGCAGTGTCCTGTGTCCCAGTGTGTGCTGCTCCTGAGTCATGACTGTGCCTGCCACCTCTGTCCAGTGCTGCTCTGCCCACATGGGCTCTTCCTGACCAGGGTGGAGTTTGGTGTCAAGCCTGTGATGCTTGCTCTTCCATTGCCTGTCTGGGGTGGGAGCCTCTTGGGAAAGAGCTCCATTGCCTGCCAGGCCCTCCGGGATGCCAGTAGACACTGGGTCATCACCCTAAGGCTGAGTGTGGGGGGTATCCTTCCCTTTTTGTTTGACTGCCTCAGGCTACTGCTGCAGTTTCTGGAAAAGTGGGTAGGCCCATGTTCCCACCCTAGAGATGATGTGTTGTGCCAACTATGCTCTGCTTGCCAATTGGCTAAGCCAGCCCTTGGGGGGGGTCTACCAGGTCCTGGCCCACAAGTGTTTTGCATGTTACATGCAACTCAAGTCCCCCTTGGGCTTAGTTGAGAACACAAGTTAGGAAAAAAGTGCTTGGGGGGGATGCATGCAGATCAGGTTAGGGTCCCAGTGCTCCTCCCACAGATGCTGTGAGGCTGCCTCTGATCCCTCCATCTGAAGCTCTGGCTTCTGTGTGGGCCAGCCTGGGAAGTGATGGCCCCTGGTGACAGGACATCAAACAACACCCAGTTGGCTTCCAGTCACTGGTGTGGAAATGGGGTGAGTACGGTCCATGATGCTTTTGTCTGTAGCTGGGTTTGGGCCATGGGTGAGGCCAAGCCTGTGCTTTTTGCCTCAGGCCACTTGGTGCTCTTTGTGTCCAGGGGCTCAACCTCCAAAGCCCTGCTGTGCAGGCAGCTCCCTTTCCTGCACCATCCTCAGTGCACAGGTTGGTATGTGGGAGCATTTCTGAGACTGATGGGGGGTTGTGAGTTAAAACACAATGGGGCTTGTGGGAGGTGCTGAGGCCCCTGTGTTCCAGGCAGGTGTCAGGATGGAGTGGCCTGCACGCTGGTGAGAGTGGATCCCATCCTGTCTTCTGGAGCTGTGGAGAAGACCCTTCCTGGAGCCCTCCTGACTGCCTCACCTTGGCTGCCTTGCTTTCATCCCTACCGACCTCATGGATTGAAATCGGCCTCAGTGTGTGGCAGTCCTGGGGTGAAGTGGCCCAGGAGACAAGCCAGTGGCTGATCAGCACAGGATGTTGGTGTGTATGGGGTGATCTGGGTTGGAACACAAGGGTGGTGGGTGTGTCACCAAACAAGCAGGTGTCCTGGGGTCCCCTGTGTTCAGCTTTGAGGGCTGGGGCTTGCTTTAGACACCCCCACCTTCTTTGGGAACCCAAGTCCCACTTCTTCCCCTCTTTGGGGAAAGCACTGCTTCTAGCCTGCTGCTGTGACTTGGATGTAGGGGGCCTGCTCCCCTGTGACATGTGTACCCCAAAGTGGTTTTATAAGAATGGAAACTGGACAGGCTCTGTCTGTTCTTGGTGGTGGCTGTCAGTCAGTTTGGCTGCTTGTCATCACATGGTGGCTTTCTCCATCTGTGGCTTTTCCCTTTGGGGAAGAACACCTGTCAAGTTAGATCAGGGCTAGACAGCCACTGTGGGGGGGGAGTATATGTTAAGGCAATTGAAGGGGGGGGAGGTTGAAGGGGTTTGCCTTGCTTTTAGTGCCAAAGTGTGGACAGCAGCAGCAAGGTCTCTCTTAGCCTTATCTACCAGATGTGGGGCCTCTCCGTGCAGGTCTGCAGGAGCAGCAGGCTCTACCTCCTTTGCCAGACAAAGGGCTGCTGCAGCCTGAAAGGAAGCAAAGAGACAGCATCAGAGGGGAAAGATCTCTGTCCAACACAGTGTGTAGGTGGATTGCAATTTGCTCTGCATGTGAACACAGCTCACCAACAGAACCTTTTTTGGGGGGGTCCTCTGCACTTGGAAGTGGAATAGAAGTTATGGCACAAGACAGCATCGGTGGTGGGGGTGAGCACAAGAAAGCTACTTGGGAGACTAGTTAAGTATTAGTTGGAGGGCTGGCCCCTCCCTGTCCATGGGAGTGGGGCACTGCCTCAGCAACACTGTGGGGAGTTTGAGGGGTGGCAGCAGGAGACCGAGACCTCAATAGAAAATGACTCAGATAGAGGGGGTGGTGGGACAGCTGCCCTCGGTCACTGTGTTGAAGTCCTCTCAGCTACAGGTGACCATGTTGGAATGTCTTGAATACCACATTCCCCCCATGCCTCAGCTCCTTTGTTGTATTAGCAAAGAGGGCTTGAGGTGAGTGACTGGCGTTTTTGCTGAGCACCCGGGTGCTGTGGCAGTCAGCCTGGGTTTTTGGGAAAAACGTGTGAGGGCAGTTTCTTCACAGGATTTGCTGTGTGTGAGAGAGACATGAGCCGGAGGCGGTTCTGTGATCTGTTGAAAAGACTGCCCCTGTGCACTGGCTGTGTGGTGTGATTCTCAAAACAATTCCTTAAGAATGTTCTCAAAATGTGTGTCATTAACACTGCCTTTAAGGGGGGTTGTGTTGATGGGGTTTGAGACCACAGCAAAGTGAGTAATGATTTGAGAGGAGGGAAGGAGAGAGTGGAAGGTATGAGGAGACAGAGCAGTGGCCCCAGCGGGTCGACCAGATGTCCCAGGAAATGAGCACGCAGCAGGACGAGCAGTGGGTCGACCAGATGTCCCAGGAGAGGAGCTGCCTGGATGTGAGAGCAAGGCCTGTGACCTCCAGCAGTATGCAGAGACAAAACATGCATTTTGGGGGTTAGATGAGCAAGGAATTGAGCCATGAGAAGGGTCACGTGTGACTAGCAGGGTGGATGACCACACAAAAGCGACAAAAACGCTGCTGGTGCCTTAGTGGCCTCCTGTGAGGGGGCAGAGGAGCCCAGACATCATCTCTCACCCTTGGTTGTCCCCTTCCCGCTTCCTCGGATGCCCCCAAACCACACCCTTTGCTTTACAAAGATCTTCCAAAAGGCCCAGTGAACCCTTCAATCCACTGCAGCGTGGCACCCACGAGGCCAGATCACGTGCGACACACCAGCTTCACACAGAACGTGGACTGTGTCTGGTGGTGTGGCACGTGCGCGCGCACACACACACACACACACAGACCTCTGTTACGTGAGGCACTGCTGTGAGGGAACGAGTGTCTGCCCCAACAAGACACTCACCCAAGCACCCACCCAGTTCTCCTGGACACGGTGCTGCAGGCGAGCTGGTCCCAGGACCCACCCGAGTGTGTCCACTCAGCCTCTCACCGTTAGGGCCACCCACGCAAAGCACTTCCTACGTGTCTGAGTTGTTCCTTGTGCTTTCCCACCTGTGCGTTGAGCTCTTCCTGCGTTTTCAGGCGAGCAGCTGCTAAGGCCTCTTGTTTCACAGCATCGTCAGCTTCTACCGTGAATGGGAGAAAAAATTAAGCTAGAAAGCATTTGTACAAAATGGGAATTCTTGAGTTTACAGGAGCATTAGGAATATATAAAAGCACAGATAGCAGATGGTGCAAAAACATGTTTCTACATGAAGAAGGCTACCCTTCCGCATAGGGAAGTCTGGGGAAGGCTCCCTGACGTTTCTCATGGAAGAGGAGGACTCCCCTTCCAAACGATAACATAACGTTCCTCCACCCTGCCTCCCTGTATTTAGTCATTGCTTTCAGCATTAAAGGTAAGTTCTACCGTGTGGAGATGTTCATGTTTTGCTGGACATTTCATTTTCCCTTTGACATTTCCCAGTCAGGGCCGGTCCCCAGTAGGGGGTGTGTGAGAGGCAACCACACACTGACCTTTCTCTCTCTCCCCGCTTCTCTGTGAAAATAAAATCTTAAAAAACAAAACAAAAAGAACCCACACACACTTCCATTTTATAGCAATGTGAGTTTCAGTGCCATTTCTGTTGGCCCATTCTCAGAATAAAATCTTTATAGGAATGTGAGTTTCAGTGCCATTTCTGTTGGCCCATTCTCAGAATAAAATCTATCCGGGTAGGTTTTTAATCGTGTTCTCACAAAATAGGCCAGCACGACGCACCACCTTTCACTGCGGTTCCGCTCTGTAGTGCTTCCTGAAAACAAGCCTCTCGGACGCGCCATCCCATCACCACCACCTGGCGCTTCGTGAAATCCTGCATCTTACGCAAGATTTACGATTGCATTCTGTGCTTTGTTGGTGCACGTGCTCGTAGTTAACAATCAAGAAGACCGAGAGTGGCAGAGATGAGCGACATCTGCATTTAATGATGCCCCCCATTCTCAAAGCACTTAACATGTCTTTGGGATGTCCTCAGAAACTGGAGCTTCAAACTCCAGTTTCTAAGTGCTGACAAGGCTACCGTTTCTGAGAGAATGACTTTAAAACAACCAAGTAGAATCTGAAGTCAGGCCTGATGAGTGAGTTGCGATAAATCAAAATGTCATGAAGAACTGAACCTGACTTTCTCCTCCCTCATCGAGGTCTGAAAGACAACTCACAGTGCACAGGCAGACCCACGAGTGAAGTTTTCCAGGGAACCCGTCGTGGAAGGTGAAAAGCCCTCCAACAAGTACGCACCGCCAGGTAGATTTCCCCCCTCGATTAAAATCCCCGACGTGAGACGACCTGTTGTCGCACGTTCACCAAAATCGACTTCGGAAGCGCGCACACACGTTTTCTTCCCGTACTTTCTTACCCCGAACAGCAGCCCGGATTTGCAGTCACTAACCCACAGCAGCCGGCGCGGTCCAGCTGCCTCTGCCTCAAGGCTCGCGGGCGTGTGGAAAGCTGCTGAAAAATCAGGCACGACAGGATGCAGCTGAAGACCATGAACCGGCCGCAGGTGGCCAGCGGGGAGCCCACTGGGAAAAAAAAAGAAAGCCGTCTGCAAGGAGCTCAAAAAGGACGCTGCTGAGGCTCAAGAGAAGACTTCCTGCAACTCGAGAGGGCAGAGGCCCCTCGGACCTCGGGGACGGAGAGAAAAGGGTGGCCGTGGGGGGCTGGTGCGGCGCGCGGCGTTCCAGTGTGGGCGGGCAGGGGAGGGCTGGGCGACCAGGCCTGGAGACCGGCGCCGGAGGCCCAGCGGCCCCAGACACCGCAGCCCAAGAGCTTGCTTCGCGAAAAGTACATAAAAAGCCGGACGGCGCCGCCCGGGAAAATGCGGCTCCAGGAGGGCCAAGGCCTCCCCAGGCCCCGCGCGCCGCGGGAGAAGACGCACCGAACATGGCGGCGCCACCCCGCTTCCCCGCGGCCCGCGGCTACTCACCAGGGACGTGCAGGAACCGCAGCCCCTCCGTCTCCAGAGCCGGGCGCGCGGGCAGCTACTCCCGCGTCCCGCTCCTGGCGACCACAGCTCTGCCAGTCCCTCCGCGTCAGCCTCGGGCCTTCGCCTTCGGGCCCGCCCCCACGTATACGTACTCGGGGGCGTGGCCCGGGGCCTGGCCAATCACAGCGGAGTGGGCGGGGCCCGGAGCCGGCAGAGCCCTGGGCTGTTTGGGCCCTGCAAAGCCCTGCGTCCTCCCAGGCGGCCCACCGCTGACCTCCTTGTGGACCTCGCTAGTGTTGACTTCGGCACCCAAGCAGGGCAGCCCGCTCCTGCTGCCGGTGTTACCTTTTAGTCTAAGAAAGTCCCGTCGATCCTCGTGTTTCTCCCCCCCTCCAGAATCAAAACCTCTTGAGATGAATGACAGCAATGGCTCTAACACCCCATTTCACTGGCACGAAACACTCGCGGTTATTGGTGGCGGAGCCGCTGCCTGCAGTGCCCTCCACCCATTGCCACTCCTCACCTGCCACCCACCACCTCTCTCAGGCCTACCTTACCCTACCCTATGTGCACCTTGACTCGGAGGGTTTTTTTGGGTTTTTTTGTGGGGTTTTTTTTGTGTGTGGGGGGGAGGTTTTGAAGTGAACATACCTAGCAGTCTCAAAAGCTGACAGAAATTTTTAAAGAGAAAATCGTAGGCTCCCTTGATACCAAACCTAGTTTTAATACCTGACCTGATTGCTGTCTCAGTCTCTCCCAGAAACGTAGTTAACTAGTCTGGGATTTTCTGGTCAGGCACCAGTAAAGCATCTGTCACAATCCCTCTCGCATCCCCACCCCAGGAAGAAGAGGCAATCTGCTCGATGAGAACTCTTGCCATTCACTCCCGTCAACCATGCTCCCCCCATCTAATAATCCTTTCTTCCTTTCTGTTTTCTTTTTTAATTTTAAATATGAGCCAAGCTGGCAACATATGCAGGGGGAGCAAGATCTCAAATACTCCCCTTTCCTTTCTTTTTCAATAGCTCCCTTGCCCCACTTTCTTCCTCTAAAAACCTTCCCCTTTTTTGATAACTCCTCTGAGTGCCCTTCTAGTTGCTAGATAAGATGCTGCCTGAATTCATGACTCACTTCATAAAGCCGATTAGATCTTCACATTTATTAGGTTGCATTTTTGGACACCTCTTCAAAAAATGTTATTTACTGATGTGAGAAAACTATTCATTTGTGGTCTATGCACTCATTGGTTGAATTATCATGTGTACCCTGACTGGGGATCGAACCCTCGACCTTGGTGTAGCAGGACAGAGCTCCAACCAGCTGAGCTATCCGGCTAGGGCTAACACCTACTTTTCAATGTTCTCCTTTCACCTGTAAAAGGTGAGCCATCACTCATTGCTTTGAGGTGGGCTTTCATTTATTCTGACATCTTGAACCTGTGCTAAAACTGAATGCTTTCTTGGGCTTACAGTTGTAATACTTGGTCTGGGAGCAGCTTTAAATATACAGTCAAATTTAATAAGACAGCCTCTCTCCTGCCCCCCCAAATTTTATTTACTTTTAGAGCGAGGGGGAGGGAGAAAGAGTAAGAAAAACATCGACAATTCTGTTCTCTCGCACGCCCCCGACTGGGGACCTGGCCTGCAACTCAGACATGTGTCCTGACTGGCAATCAAACCTGCAACCTTTGCCTTTGTTTGCAGGCCAGCGCTCAATCCGCTGAGCCACAGCCACCAGGGCTCCCTTTTTGGGGGGACTGAGATTTTATGTTTATTTATTTACTTATTTTGTAGGGGAAGGGAGGGAGAAAGAAAGAAAGAAACATCAATGTGTGGTTGCATCTCACACACCCCTACTATTGACTTGGCCAGCAAGCCAGGCATGTGCCCTGATTGGGAATCAAACCGGTGACCTTGTGGTTCTCAGGCCGGTGCTCAACCCACTGAGCCACACCAGCCGGGGCAACTGTCTCTCATTTTGAACAATCCCATTCTCCATGAGGTCATTCTCAGAAAAAAAAAATGTGTGTGATCAGTTGTATGTCTCGGGTGACAAAGGAGAGGATGCACAAGTATGAATAATTTGTTTTTTTAAATAAATTGCTTTGCTCAAACAGCCTTTCAGAACAAGTTCAGTTCAAGAGCCAAGGTCCCACTGTGCGGTGAACTGCAGTACCGTGCATCTGTGCATGCGTGCATGTGCACACAGTACGACAGGCTCATTCCACTCAGATTTCACAGATTCTGAGTTACCAGAATGCATGAACGATGGTCTCCCTTTCAATCCCTCACATATTGTTGTTCTGCGGTCCCATTCCTTCCAAGCCTTGTCCCTTTAATCAGGGCGTGTTCTCCCCTAGCTTGCCAAGAACCAGGGTTATTTCAGCAATTACTCAGTACAGCTGCTCGGGTGTTGTTTGCCGAAACAGGTGGAAGGTAGTATCCAGAATTCCATCCCTGACTGACCATGGTAAGACTGATTTGCCCTGGCTGGTGTGGCTCAGTGGATTGAGTGCCGGCCTGGGAACCAAAGGGTCGCCAGTTCGATTCCCAGTCAGGACACATGCCTGGTTGGTCCCCAGCAGGGGGCGTGTGAGACACAACCACACATTGATGTTTCTCTTCCTCTCTCAAAATAAATAACCTTAAAAAAAAAAAGGCGGACTTGCCCCGATGCATCACTTTACAGCCACCTCCTCACCACAGCCTCCAGGTGGGAGGAGCGGGAGGAGCAGGAGGAGCGTAGTTCCCCAGCCTCTGCCTTGGGAGGCAGCCAGGTGTCTTAGTTTGGCCAATGGCAAGTAGGCGGAACTAACTGTGTCCGTAGTGCAGGCCCAAGACGCCTCTAGCGTTCCTTCCCCTCTTGCACCTTTGCCCAGTTAGCCCACTTGTCCACAGGCCCGTGGGGAAAGCAGAGCCAGCTGTGTGCGTCCCACAGTGGTTGCCGACTCAAACCCAAGTTCTAGGGTGGAGGCCCTCACCTCCACCACCGTTTTTAGGGAGCATCGATGGGCTCTCAGGGGTGAGAGCTGTGATCAGGCGTGGAGTCGTGAGGACACTAGCCCTGGCCGGCCCGTGGGGGCAGCCGTGACTCCCCTGTGACATCCTGAACACTGGCACGTGCCACTCTGCACCCCTCAGCTGACAAGGTAAAGCTGCATTTCCCTCCAGTTCTTCAAATCAGTAATTCATTCGCATGACGTTTGTGAAATAAAAACTCCAAAGGATGCCACTTCTGGTAAAGCCCTAAAGCTCGGCTGCCTGGAATGAAGCTCGCGATTCTTTTTTTAAAAAAATGTTTTATTTATTTTTAGAGACCGGAAGGAGGGGAAGAGAGAGAGAGAAACATCAGTGTGTGGTTGCCTCTCACGTGGCCCCCACTGGGGACCTGGCCTGCAACCCAGGCATGTGCCCTGACTGGGAATCGAACCTGTGATGCTTTGGTTCACAGCCTGCGCTCAATCCACTGAGCTACGCCAGCCAGGGCAAGCTTGCGATTCTTTATGCAGAAGAACATGCTCCGGAGATGGCAGGTTCTCACAGCCAATCGCTGGCAGCACGCACACTCCTGAGTTTTACTAAGGATTGAAATGTCTGGACCGGGGGTGTCAAACTCATTCTCACCAGGGCCCACATCAGCCTTGCGGTTGCCTTCTAAGGGCGGAATGTGATTTCAAGTCCTTAACAGTTAAGGAGTAGTTCCATTTCCACAGTCCAAAAATTATTTCGGCCCTTTGAAGGCGACCTCAAGGCTGATGTGGCCCCCCGGGGAAAATGAGTCTGACACCCCAATCTAAGCATTTCCTCGAGGACCCGGAAGCCCAGTTAGAGATGACACCCTCCTCCTGCATTTCCGTTTACAGGCGCCCACACCCCTCACTGCACGCCCAGCCCAATGACACGCAACTTGGCAGCACAGCGAGTGTCCTTGGTTTTTACTCTTTGTAGAAAACAGGCATCTCAATTTCCAGTGTTCTATTAGAAAATGACCAGCAGCAGCAGCAGCTTGCAGTGTTTCAACAATGCTCGGGAGCTCTCTGCTGACGCCAACGAGGCTACTGTTCCACATTCAACAGGCAGGGCTTGTCCCACGCCGGTGTCGCAGGGCCCGTGGGTGCTCGGGCCTCGCTGCTCAGGACCCGCTTGTGACTGTGTCCTCTTCCACCGCCTCTTCGCTGTCGTCGGTGGGGCCTGGAAGGAAACACAACCCAGAGTCACGTCGACGTCAGAGAACGAGCTCTCTCGGCACGTGGGTGCCCGTTCCCTGAGGCTCCTGCGTGCCAGGCCCCGCACAGGGCGCGAGAGCCCAACAGCAGCCTCGGCCCTCGGGATGCTCACGGCCCAGCGACCTTCGGGCTCTGGCAGGTGGGCAAAGGGACGGCCGGTTCCCAAAGGAAAAGGAAGATCGCACAGGCGTTTTATGGAAGTCAGACTCCCCGCCTACCACCCCAACTCATTCACGCATCCGCCACTCAGCCCTGCGCACGCGTGCTTCCTCGTCTGCCAGATCCCCCACCCCCTCCACCCCCTGCCCGGAGCTGTGCCCACAGGGGCCTCTTTCCGTTCAAGTGTGCGAGGCCGCCTTGTGCCAGCGTGGAGTCAGAAACCTTATGGATGAACAGCTCCTACTTTCTCCCCTGAAAACCCACTGGTCCATCTTGTCCCATTTGCCATGCATGTGCTTATAACCCTGGGGAGCCCTGGTTCCCTGAGCTCTGCAGATGCCGCCCCGCCTCATTGCACAGCGTAAAAAAATCACATTTGTGAACATCACCAATTTCCTCAGAAAAGTCTTCAAATGCTGTGAGGCTGTCATGGCTACAGTTGAGGGTAAACGTTTTCTAACGTTTAAGTCTGCTTGAAAGTTTGAATTTTATTGCTGGTAACAAATACCATGAGTTGTCTTGGTTGAAGCAACAGGCACCCCTGATGTTTGAGAACACACCTACCTCTCAGCTGAGGTTGCAGACAGCTTATCATAGGCTTGTACACCTAGAACCTGTGGCATTTCACTAGCCAATATCACCCCAAGACACTGGGAAAAAAAAAAAAAACCCAAACCAGCTGCGGACAAACACCCCACGTAGGCA